CAATGCAGGAGCCAAGAATGTGCGCGGACAGCTTGGGGTTTAGGGTAATATAATATAATACAGTGACTACTGCTGTCTCGGCCTGTGCCTGCCTGGAGGGTAAGCTGCCTGGAGGCCAGCTCGGTCGCCCGCCTGGGGCTCCCTCGCAGGGTCTCACTGAGCGCTCGACCAGCGCCCGCCTACCCCAAAAGACAAGAGAGTGGGGTGGCGGGCGGGTTTAGGGTTTAGGGTAGGGTTTAGGGTTTAGGGTTTAGGGTTTAGGGTTTAGGGTTTAGGGTTTAGGGTTTTTAGGGTTTTTAGGGTTTTTAGGGTTTTTAGGGTTTTTAGGGTTTTTAGGGTTTTTAGGGTTTTTAGGGTTTTTATGGTTTTTAGGGTTTTTAGGGTTTTTAGGGTTTTTAGGGTTTTTAGGGTTTTTAGGGTTTTTAGGGTTTTTAGGGTTTTTAGGGTTTTTAGGGTTTTTAGGGTTTTTAGGGTTTTTAGGGTTTTTAGGGTTTTTAGGGTTTTTAGGTTTTTTAGGGTTTTTAGGGTTTTTAGGGTTTTTAGGGTTTTTAGGGTTTTTAGGGTTTTTAGGGTTTTTAGGGTTTTTAGGGTTTTTAGGGTTTTTAGGGTTTTTAGGGTTTTTAGGGTTTTTAGGGTTTTTAGGGTTTTTAGGGTGTTTAGGTTTTTTTTGGGTTTTTAGGTTTTTTTTTTGGGTTTTTAGGGTTTTTAGGTTTTTTAGGGTTTTTAGGGTTTTTAGGGTTCTTAGGGTTTTTAGGGTTTTTAGGGTTTTTGGGGTTTTTAGGGTTTTTGGGGTTTTTAGGGTTTTTAGGGTTTTTAGGGTTTTTAGGGTTTTTAGGGTTTTTAGGGTTTTTAGGGTTTTTAGGGTTTTTAGGGTTTTTAGGGTTTAGAGGGTTTAGAGGGTTTAGAGGGTTTAGAGGGTTTAGAGGGTTTAGAGGGTTTAGGGTTTAGGGTTTAGGGTTTAGGGTGTCGCTTTAGTTGTATGTTGGTGCCGAAAAGAAAAAGGCACCAACATACGCGCGGCCGGCTGTCGATCCCACCCCAAAAACCACCCAGACCTTAAATCACCTTTCAAGGCCGGGGCTCGCCAAACGTCAGGTTTGGACCCCCCCAAACGTGCAGGTTTCCAGGTTTGGACCCTCAAAACGTGCAGGTTTCCAGGTTTGGACCCCCAAAATGTGCAGGTTTTTAGGTTTGGACACCCAAAACGTGCAGGTTTCCAGGTTTGGACCCCCCAAAACGTGCAGGTTTCCAGGTTTGGACCCCCAAAACGTGCAGGTTTCCAGGTTTGGACCCCCCAAAACGTGCAGGTTTCCAGGTTTGGACCCCTCAAAACGTGCAGGTTTCCAGGTTTGGACCCCCAAAACGTGCAGGTTTCCAGGTTTGGACCCCCAAAACGTGCAGGTTTCCAGGTTTGGACCCCCCAAAATGTGCAGGTTTCCAGGTTTGGACCCCCAAAACGTGCAGGTTTCCAGGTTTGGACACCCAAAACGTGCAGGTTTCCAGGTTTGGACCCCCCAAAACGTGCAGGTTTCCAGGGTTGGACCCCCAAAACGTGCAGGTTTCCAGGTTTGGACCACCAAAAACGTGCAGGTTTCCAGGTTTGGACCCCAAAAACGTGCAGGTTTCCAGGTTTGGACCCCCCAAAACGTGCAGGTTTCCAGGTTTGGACCCCCAAAACGTGCAGGTTTCCAGGTTTGGACCCCCAAAACGTGCAGGTTTCCAGGCTTGGGCCCCCAAAACGTGCAGGTTTCCAGGTTTGGACCCCCAAAACGTGCAGGTTTCCAGGTTTGGACCCCCAAAACGTGCAAGTTTCCAGGTTTGGACCCCAAAAACGTGCAGGTTTCCAGGTTTGGACCCCCAAAACGTGCAGGTTTCCAGGTTTGGACCCCCAAAACGTGCAGGTTTCCAGGTTTGGACCCCCAAAACGTGCAGGTTTCCACCCCCAAAACGTGCAGGTTTCCAGGTTTGGACACCCAAAACGTGCAGGTTTCCAGGTTTGGACCCCCAAAACGTGCAGGTTTCCAGGTTTGGACCCAAAACGTGCAGGTTTCCAGGTCTGGACCCCCAAAACGTGCAGGTTTCCAGGTTTGGACCCCCAAAACGTGCAGGTTTCCAGGTTTGGACCCCCAAAACGTGCAGGTTTCCAGGTTCCCAAAACGTGCAGGTTTCCAGGTTTGGACCCCCAAAATGTGCAGGTTTCCAGGTTTGGACCCCCCAAAACGTGCAGGTTTCCAGGTTTGGACCCCCAAAACGTGCAGGTTTCCAGGTTTGGACCCCCAGGTTTCCAGGTTTGGACCCCCCAAAACGTGCAGCTTTCCAGGTTTGGACCCCCCAAAACGTGCAGGTTTCCAGGTTTGGACCCCCAAAACGTGCAGGTTTCCAGGTTTGGACCCCCAAAACGTGCAGGTTTCCAGGTTTGGACCCCCAAAACGTGCAGGTTTCCAGGTTTGGACCCCCAAAATGTGCAGGTTTCCAGCTTTGGACCCCCAAAACATGCAGGTTTCCAGGTTTGGACCCCCCAAAACGTGCAGGTTTCCAGGTTTGGACCCCCAAAACGTGCAGGTTTCCAGGTTTGGACCACCAAAACGTGCAGGTTTCCAGGTTTGGACCCCCAAAACGTGCAGGTTTCCAGGTTTGGGCCCCAAAACGTGCAGGTTTCCAGGTTTAGACCCCCCAAAACGTGCAGGTTTCCAGGGTTGGACCCCCCAAAACGTGTAGGTTTCCAGGTTTGGACCCCACAAAACGTGCAGGTTTCCAGGTTTGGACCCCCCCAAAACGTGCAGGTTTCCAGGTTTGGACCCCCCAAAACGTGCAGGTTTCCAGGTTTGGACCCCCCAAAACGTGCAGGTTTCCAGGTTTGGACCCCCTAAACGTGCGGGTTTCCAGGTTTGGACCCCCAAAACGTGCGGGTTTCCAGGTTTGGACACCCCAAAACGTGCAGGTTTCCAGGTTTGGACCCGCCAAAACGTGCAGGTTTCCAGGTTTGGACCCCCAAAACGTGCAGGTTTCCAGGTTTGGACCCCCCAAAACGTGCAGGTTTCCAGGTTTGGACACCCAAAACGTGCAGGTTTCCAGGTTTGGACCCCCTGAAACGTGCAGGTTTCCAGGTTTGGACCCCCCAAAACGTGCAGGTTTCCAGGTTTGGACCCCCCAAACCCAAACGTTGAGTTTTGGGTTAGGGACTGTCAGCCAGGGTTTGGGGTTCTCTTTGTGTCAGGGCAAGGTCCGCAAGTGCAAGCCGACTTTAACGTTTAGTGTCCTGTAAAGTAAGTTGTCTTTGTTGTGTCGTGTACACTCCACAACCTTTCCGCGATCCCTAGACAGGGATCGCGGGTTTAGGGTTTAGGGTTTATAGAAATTGTATAGGGTTTGTGTCCGGAGTTTTGGGCGGGTTTTGGGCGGGTTTTGAGCGGGTTTTGAGCGGGTTTTGAGCGAAAGTTTTGTGCGGGTTTTGAGCGAGTTTTCTTTTCTGCTTTAGGCAGAGAAATATAGGGTTTGTGTCTGGAGTTTGGGCGGGTTTTGGGTGGGTTTTGGGCGGGTTTTGGGCGGGTTTTGGGCGAAAGTTTTGGGCGAAAGTTTTGAGCGAGTTTTCTTTTTTGGTTTTGGCAAGAAGGAATACCATTCCATTTAAGGGCTGGGGCTGGGGCTGCTGGGGCTGCTGGGGCTGCTGGGGCTGCTGGGGCTGCTGAAACTGCTGGGGCTGCTGGGGCTGCTGAAACTGCTGGGGCTGCTGAAACTGCTGGGGCTGCTGGGGCTGCTGGGGCTGCTGGGGCTGCTGGGGCTGCTGGGGCTGCTGGGGCTGCTTTCGCTGCTGGGGCTGCTTTTGCTGCTGGGGCTGCTGGGGCTGCTGGGGCTGCTGGGGCTGCTGGGGCTGCTGGGGCTGCTTTTGCTGCTGGGGCTGCTGAAACGGCTGGGGATGCTGGGTGCTGGGGCTTGCTGCGGCTGCTGGGGCTGCTGGGGCTGCTGGGGCTGGGGGCTGCTGGACTGGGGTGGGGTTGGCCCGTGGGGGTGGGTTATTGGACGAGCTGCTCGAACTGAAGCATACAATTCTATTTATTCTGGTCTGAGGGTTTATAGCATTGTATAGGGTCTTGTGTCAGGGTGTTGGGGGGTTGTGGGGGGTTTTGGGGGGTTTGGGGGGTTTGCCGGGTTCGTTTTTTGTTTACTCCAATGTTGGGCCGGAGGTGGGCTGGAGGGGCTGCAGGGGCTGGAGGGGCCGGAGGGGCTGGAGGGGCTGGAGGGGCTGGGCTGGAGGGGCTGAGGCTGGGTTGCAGGCCGGGGGCTGGAAGGGAGGGGCTGGAGGGGCTGGAGGGGCTGGAGGAACTCAAGAGCTGGAAAAAGTGGAGGGGCTATAGGGGCTGGGGGCTGGAGGGGCTGGGGCTGGGCTGGAGGGAAACTGAAGGGGCTGGACGGGCTGGAGGGTGGATGGAGGGGGCTGGAGGGGCTGGGGGGGCTGGGGGGGCGGGGGGGGCTG